TTTGCAATGACCTTTACAAAATTGTTGTTAAGTCTTCAGAGGCCTTCACCCTTGCTCATCCTTTATCACAAAGCACTTAGGAGGCAAAGGATAAGAAGCTGAAAAGCCCTCTGAGGCTTCAGGATGGTCAACCCCTCCCCGCAAACCCAAAATGAAAACAAACCAAACAAACAAAAAAACCAACTTGCTCCCGCTGCTATTTTCTTCCCAAGACACATTTCTTCCTTGATTTTTGTCATTCAGCTTTTTACCGTGTATTTCAACCTACCTCTTGGGAGCCAAGTAATTCCATTTTTCAACTATGTGCTCTTAGGTCAAGTTTTTTGCCTTTTCAGAGCTTTCTGCTGTGGGCATGTACAGAGTGTTCCATGGTGGGGAAAGGGGTAATCAAAGGAACAGGGAATGTTAGAAGGCAGAGAAGTTACCAGCATTTGTCCTAACACCAGAATATTGGTGGTGGTCAACTCACTGCAATCACGGTGAGATTGGAATAGTTGCTGGCTCTTCCAGTCGTTACTTCTCAGGTCACCTCCTTATGGCTATTTCCTAGAATGGCAGTGAAGATGGAAGGTCGCTCGGCTCTGGAATCTGTGCAGAGGATTGGTGCAACACACTTCTGGGTCTGTTCAAGAGAGTCATGGAGGTATGGGTTTGGGATCTAGGTGGAGTTGCTGGCCCCTTCTTCTCTAGACTGTTCCCATTTTCTGCTTCTCAGCTGCAAGAAGTAAGCAGCTTTGCTCCACCGTGTCCATCTATCATGATGGTCCTGTTTTGGAGTCAGTGGACCATGGACTGGATCCCCTGAACAGTGAGCCAAATTAAACCTCTTCTGCTTTAAGCTATGGCTATCAAGTTTTGTTTAGTCATAATTTTCTTTTTTTTGTTTTGTACTTTTGCAGTGCTTGGGATTGAGCCAGGGAGTTGTGCATGCTCGGAAAGAATCTTTCACTGTAGTATACGTTCAGCCCTCTAGTCATGACTCTTGATTTCAATATCTCAAAAGTAATTCTTCCTGCTTCTTGATCCCTCAAACTCTATTATTCTAATATTTGTGTCTTCCCCCATTAGGATCATCTTCTCTTGAAATATTTTGGCTAAATACTGCTATCTCTCTGTGAGCTCAATTTCAAACATTTCACCCTCTACCTTGTTCTCTGTAGCTCACTCCTTCTTATACCCCATTACTAAGAAAATATCAATACCACTGACATGAACAACCACTGAACCTTCCACCTTTCGGTTCTTTTCCTACCCGCCCCCCCCCATGTCTTCTTGTCCTACTTACTCAGCTTAGTTTTCATAGTTCATGATTATAATTGCACCTTTGGTAACATTTTAAATTCCATCCTTTTTTTCTTGATCAAATTTGTATGAGAAGACCCCAAGTCTAGTTAAATCCAGTACTCTACTTACTTTGTGACTGCATGCATGCAGGTAAATGTTGTTAGACTATAACAACCACACTTGTTGCTTGGTCTCACTTGAGATTCATGATCACAAACTTCCAAAATGTGTCATGTAGTCTGGAAATATAAAATTTCCCTCGTCTATCTAATCTCCCACTTGATTGTATTTTACCCTGTGTCCTCTTTCTTCAAACCTCTAAGATCTCTTCCTCCATTGTCATTTTCAGCTGATGAACTTACTTGTTGCTGCACTTTGAAAAGAGAGATGAACTTGGAAGAAGGAACTTCCATGTGTTTCTCCTTCTGCATCCAGCACTTTATTTGCTTTTGTACTTGCATGCTACACTTTCCTTTAGGTATGGAGATTGAATCATTCTTTTCCTTTCTACGGCCAATCTACCCAGTGCCATAGATCCTACCACCTCTCACCCACCCAGGACCATCCTTACAGTATCTCTCCCCCCTTTCTCCCGTAATAATTTCTCTCCCTTTTCAACCACAACCATCTCTTGTGTAATTATACAGTACTCTTGTGTGATTATACAGTACTGGATTGTTAACTGGCCTCCTTGCCCAAACCCTTCTATCCCCTTCTCTGTTGGGTCCTTCACAGAAGCATACAAAGACGGCTCAGTATTCTCATCTTAAAAACAGACATCTGTTCTCACCTGCCATCCCATTTCTCCTCTCACTTTTACAGTAGAATTTCCCAATCTTTCTCTATTGGCTGTAGCTGATTGCTGATTTTTCTCTCCCCATTTTCTCTTTTGTACTTACTGTGTTTTGATTTTTTTCCCATCGCCTTGCTGAAAACAAAATTCCAACAACTTATATAGAGATTTGTGGCCTGCATGCTGTGAAATCCAGTGGTCTTAACTGCAGTGCAGCATCACAAACTTATCACTTCATAATTCTCTCTTTCCTAAACATCGCTTTCCCTCCTGGAATATCACTTTTTCTAGGTTTCCTCCCTACCTTACTGGGCATTCCTATTTACTATCTTTTGTAGTTCCCCTTCATTTCCGTAATGATCTATCCTATCTATCACTCATTTTTCTTCATCTCTTTCAAATTGACATTCATTTCCATGGTAACATCATTCAATTTGAAGTTTCCAAGTACTACCTATATAATTAGCAGGGCTTCTTCATTCCACTTCACATTCATATAGCCAAGTGTCCTCGAATAGCCCGCAGCATCCACTTGGATGTCTAAGAAGCATCACACATCTAACATGCCCAAACTGGACTCTTAGTTCCCCTCTTCCTATTTCCTTGTTTCGCCTCCAGTTTTTCAGAGCACATGCAAACTCCATCCTTCCAGTTGTTTAGGTTGAAACGCATCATTGAGTCTCTTTTTAATTTGACATCCAGTCAATAAGCAAAATGCTATCAGATCCACCTTCAAAACCAGTAGGAAAAGTGACCAGCTTCTCACCACCATCATCTCTCGTTTAAGCGATGACCCTAGATTGCTGGCTGTTGGCTTCCCCGCCTGTGCCCTTACACCCTCATAGCCTGCTCTCAATACAAAAGAATACTTGAGATGTTATTTCTTTTTTGATAACTTTCAAATGGCTTCCCACCTCACTTGGAGTAAAAGCCACAGCCGTAATAGTGGTTTACAAAGCCTAAGGCCCTACAATGCTTATCTGCTCTCCTCTCAGACATTACCTCCCAGCTTTTTCCTCTTACTCGCCATTAGAGCCAATTCAACCTCTTTGGTATTTCTTGAACATACAAACCACATTCCAGTCTTGGGATCTTTGCACTTTTCATTTTTATTCTTGGAATGCTTTTACCTCATGACTCACTCCCTGGCTTCTTTCAGATTTCGACTTAAATACCCGCTTCTCAGTGAGGCCTTCTCTGGCCATGCTACACAACATGGTGCATGTGTGTGCAAATAGCCACTCCTTCACCCTTGCTTTATTTTTCCCCTGACACCACCATCTAGCACATAATATATTTCCTTGCCTATTATCTTTTATTCTACCTCTTTGTTTACTTTGCACCTTGCTGTATCTGCATGATCTAAAACAGGGCTTAGACTGCAGCAGAGTTCAGTCAACACTCGAAGAACAAATGAATGAATAGGGTTAATGTATTAATTAGTTTAATGTGTGTAATGGAGTGAATGTTGTGTCTAAGCACTTCCAAGCTTTTCCTGGGCCTGTCCTCCCATCTCTGTAGTCACTGTGGGAGTTACTTGGAAGCAGCCAAGCACAATGTAATTCCGACCCCTGGCTACAATTGGTGGGTCAGGGATAGATGCCCTGGGCCAACCGTTTCTTCCTTGGGAGCTTGATACTGGTACTAAGGGAGCCAATCCTTTTATTGACACTTGAACATATCTTTCCACAGCTGTTGTGTCTTATTTTCATCCAAGAGGACCAGATGCAGAGGTATCTATTAGAAAGGGGAGAGTAAATGATGGTTAGAGAAAAGCAGAGGCGGCAGATGGCTAGAGAAGCTGTCTAGTGCTCTATTCCCCATTACCAGTTGTCCCCCTGACTTGAACAGACCCCTGTACCTCCTGCTACATTACAGAAAGCACCAGCCTAATGTCTACCATAGTAGGTAGTTAATAATAAATACTAATTGTATCAGAATATGGAAAGGACCATTTCTAATTTGTTCAATATCAGAAATCTCCGTAAGAAATAAAACCAACCTAAGTTGCAGAAATAAATATGTTTTCTGAATGCTTGGCATCAGGTCAGATTCCATTCTTAGTGGAAAGATAACTGGCCTGGAAGCAGGAAGCCTAAGTCTGCTCCAGCTGTTGGCTTGGTTGATTATCATCCCCCTTGAACCTCCAGTTTTCCTGTCTATAAAATGACAGGGCTGCATTAGGCAGCCTGCAGTTGATTTTTCAGAAGCTGGGCACTAAACAGAGGTGTGTTCTCTTCTGATTGATAAATAATTCAGGTGTTCTAAACATTTGCCTTTCCTGTGTCTGTAACACCAGAACTCCTTCATCTGTGGAGAATGTTCTACTTTGTAAGTTTTGGTGGGAGACAGAACTTATCTCCCATGATAGATGTTAAAAAACCCAACTAGGCATGTTCCCACTACTCTTGGGCCTGGATCCAGATGACGGCAGCAAAGGCCATTGGACTCAGCCACCAAGACTGCACTGGGAACTTGTCGCTCACAAAGCAGAGGCAGCCAGGAGCCATTCCAGTGGCGGGTGGCAAAGCAGCTGCTGCACCATCATGGTGCAGCTGTGATCTCCTGCATCAAGGCTGAAGGGGGCAGTGGCTCAGGCTGGGCGTCCACTGTTGGTGGAGGGAGCATGCTGGCCCTAGGACTCTGTCCTCTCCTGGTTCTGCAGCCAGCCTTCTTGGGATTCTGAGCTGCCTAGTCTCTTTCTCATATCCATCTCCCTGCCAGTTCTTCAAATAAGCACTCTGACTGGAATACCAGATGGAAAAAAGACAACAGAGTCTTAAATTCCTCACTAGATTCAATGGGGAGACTATGCAAAGGCGGGCCTCCCGATTTTTGTCCCTTTCCCAGGAGGAATACAGGCATAGCAGAACCAGAAAGGAACTGAGAGAGAATTTAATGCAAGTTTCTTGTTTTTCCAAAGGCAGGTCCAGTCACAAGAAGAAACACCTTGCTGAGCATCACACATGGTCCGGAGGTGGATGAACACTTGCCTCTCTCTGGTGCCCTTTCTAGGACTGTTCCTTCTCTTTAGTTGGTTGGCTGAGTATTTGGTTTGCACTTTTTTTTTTTCTAATTTGGGTTGTTATTTTTCTTTTTCCACTTATGAATGTAGGGCTTTCATTTGTCTCTTACACTACTGCTGGTTTCCATTGCTGTAAGTAGCATTTGCCCAGGTAAAACATTTCCCCTTCAGGTTTAAGACAAAGCTGGTTTCTTCCAATAAGTATGAAGGATGGAAGGAGGGAATTGAGGTCCCAGGTTCTCAGCAACAATTTCTCCTTCCGAAAGGTTCTGCTAGCTTGGCCTCAACGCTATCTCCCCTACCCACCCCTTCCCCCAGTACTGGACTAGAACACAAGGCATTTGCACCGAGTTACATTCCCAGAGCTTTTTAAATTTTAGAATAGGCTTGCCAAGACACTAACTCTCCCAGGCTGGGCTGGAACTTGCCATCCTCCTGTTTCAGCCTCCCAGAATGCTGAAATTATAGGTGCGTGCCATCATGCCTGGCTAAAGCTATCATTTTTTAAATGGCAGAGAAGGTCTTTGGCTGTCTAAGGAAAACACAAGCCATTGGCATTCTTTAAATGTGTCTAGAGCTATGTTCCTGAGTTGCTCCCTCAGAATCACCAACCCTGCCTGCTCTTTGACTTCTGTGGGAAAGGGAAAGAACACCTTCAGTGAAAGACAGCCCGTGACATTACTGCCTGTGAAGCAGAGGGGAAGGACCTCCATGTCAGATGCAGGCAAATGCAGGAAGGCAGGGTAGGACCCTCTCCACCACTCCCATCTGCCTCTATTCCAGGAAGCTCCTTCTGCTCCTGCCAGCTCCACTGGAGCTGTGTTCCAGTGGGCAAAGAAGGAAACATCTACCTTTTACTATTCTACTCACTATCACATTAAATAGACTTGGAGTGCTTCCTGCCATATACTCTTCTTGGCATTGGGGTAGAGAAAAACGGATGAGTTTCCTGCCCTCAAAAAGTCTGATAAATGTTATGTTACAGATATTTCACTACAATTACAATGCTTGATGTAATATTCATACACCTTAAAAAGTTTATCAGCTACAGCAACACAGACAGTAAGCAAGTAAACAAACAAAAGTGATCAGTACAGGTCGGGATTGTTACGAAAGAGATGGGCATCCGACGGATGATGGTGGGATGTGAGGGAGCATTGAGATGGGAAATAACTGTACCTGGAAGAGTCCTCAAGCTTTTCTAAGGTGGTGACCTGAGGAAGAAGGCATCAGTTGTGTGAAGTCAAAATTGTCCCAGGCGGAGCCAGCTGCATGTTCAAGGGTACTGAGACAAAAAAGAACGTGGGTCTTCCGGTTCACTGTTTGCAGGGCAGTGCTGGGCTTATTGTCTTCTACACGGGAATTCCTGGAAGTTAGCACTGCCGCCTCCTCCGTCTCTCCTACAGTGGTGCCGAGCGCAGTCTCTGGCTAACACAGCCAGCAATTTGGCTGATTTACTTGGGGATTTGACTTCAGAACTCTTTGAACTTAAGGTGAGTTCAGAGAAGTTAAGTGATTTCCATGGACCCCTTGATTCCAGTCTTCAAAGCCAATGCACCAATTCAATATTTTCCTGTTATTGCAAGTTTTCTTCTTATTATAACTAAACCAGAAGTGTCCTTCGGGAATTCCATTTCCTTAGTTATGAATAGAAGTGACTTAATTATTATAGATTCAGCCAGGTGACCTGAGGATAACAGAAACAAATTGCTGAACTGGGAAAGCAAGATTGAAATGCTGTGGTTCCTCTCTGGGTTAGCACTTACCTCTGGCATGTCTGATATTTGATTGATAGTTTCAGCTTCCTTCAGTATTATATATTTTTATGTGTGGATGTCTGTACAGATGTATGCATTTATAACATAGTAACAGTAACATACAATAAACTACACATATACAAGACACCTGTGAACTAGCCTCACACACAAAAATGAATATTCACCATTTTCCAAATTTTCTTCCTGCCATGCTGTAATCTGTCCTTTTTTTGCTCTTCCTCCTTCCAGAGGAAGCTATTTATCCACCTTCAGCCCAAGGATTAAATGGCACTTTCTAGCATTTCATATAAATGGAAATATACAGTATGTACTATTTTTGTTCTGACTTAGTTCTCTGGACATATTATTATTTATTTTGAGATTCATTCATGTTGTCTATATTCACAGTTCATTGCTTTTGTTTCATTGTGTGGATAACCCAGTTTGGGTTTATTAAAAATAAAGTTGCATCCAGGTGTGGTGATGCACACCTGCAACCCAGCACTCTGGGAGGCTGAGTCAGGAGGATCACAAGTTTAAGCCCAGCCCGGGCAACTTAGTGACTTAGCAAGACCCTGTCTCAAAATAAAAATTGGGGGGATAAAGGCTGGGAATCTAGCTCAACGCAATGGCCCTGGCTTCAATCCGCAGTACCACAAACAAACAACAAACTAATTAATCAATAGATAAAATTGCTATGAACATTTACACAAATCTTTGCATAGTATATGCTTTGCTTATTATGAGTAATACCTGGCTGGCTCACATGATAAAGAACCACCATGCTTCCTTTCCAATGGTATTATACCATTTCAAATTCTTGTAGTGATGTATGAAAGTTCAAGTTACTCTCTGCCACAATTGGCCACTCTGCCACAATTTGGTATGCTCAGTCTTTTTAGTATTAGCAATTTTAATAGGTCTGCAGTTGTATCAGCAGTGGTTCTTTCAATGATTTTTAGTTTTTTGAGACAGGGTCTTGCTATGTAGTTCAGGCTGGCCTTGAACTCACCCTGTATCACAGGCTGGCCTCAAACTCACAGCACTCCTCCTGCCTCAGCCTCCTGAGGGCTGGGATTACAGGCATGTGCCTCCATGCTCAATGATGTTGGACATTTTTTCCTGAGCTTATTTGACATAGGATATCTTCTTCCTAAAATATGTTTAAATAATTTTCCTGTTCAGATTATTGGGTTATTTGATTTATTATTTTTAAGTTTTAAAGTTCTTTATATATTCTGGACATGAGTCAGTTGTCAGATATATGATTTGTAAATATTTTTTATTAAACACTGGTTTGTCTGTTCTTTTGCTAGTATCTTTTAAAGACCATGACTGGATTTTGATGTCTAGTTTATAATGCTCTTCTTTTTCAGAACCTGCATCATTTGTCAAACCAAAAAATCTTTGCCTAAATTCAAAGCCACAAAGATATTGTTCTCTTTTCTTCTGAAAATTT